TATACCATTTAAACCCCACGCAAACACCATTATCACTGCCACTCGTAACTCCTCATCGCCTCATCGTTGTTTGTTCTCCATATAACTTATCACGTTGTTGCCCCTACCATTGAACTCGCTCATTTTGATATGTTTTTATCTATTGATTCTCCCTCTTAGATCAAAAAGAGGGAGATCGACGACAAGGGCCAACAACGTGTTAGGCGACTTGGAGAACGGACAACAATGGGGCAATGGGGAGTGGCAAGGGGGAGCGATACCATTGTTTGCGAGAGGTTTTAATGACGTAGAGTTTGGAAATGGTCCAATATAAGTTTCTTTTTTACTTTAAAACCCTCTTAATCAGTTATAGTTAGTTTTTTTTTAAAGATACAATATCCAATTTTTAGAAGTTCGATGGTTGTTTATTTAAAAAAAATAGAGTAAATTATGTTTTTACTCTCTGTAATTTATAATTTATTACCTTTTTCGTTCTTATGATTTAATATTTATTGTTTTTCTCATCTCTATAGTTTACAGTTCATTTTTATTTTGTTCCTTTATGCTTAAAAATAGTGTTTTGGCCTCAAAAGATAAACATAGAAATAAATTGCAAACCATAGGGATGAGAACCCAAATTTTGAAACCACAATGACAAAATCCGCAATTTTTTGCAAACCACAGAGACTAAAAACATAATTTACTCAAAAAAAATTCGAGACTTTAGCATTCAAAATTAAAAAGTTTAATGATTTTTTAATTAAAAAACAGTTCCCAAACTAGATCATATAATATGATAAAATTTAGTTATTTTATCAATAAAAATAATAGCTCAGTAACTTAATCATTCAAAATGGAATACTTCGTTAGTTTTTTCTGAACTTTTTCATCTTTTAAATTAATTACAATTTTATATATATATATATATATTCACATATATTATTTTTAATATCTTGGTTATTTAAAATCTAATCTAATAAGAGATATTTAAAAAAAATGTCTCAATTGAAGTGCAACGGCCATATTGACTAAAGCATTTACTTTTGTTGTTGAATTTGAAAAACAAAATGAGAAATGAAAAAGATATAATATAAAATGATGCGCATGACATTATCTTATGCTTCAATATAATTACCTTTTCCTTTAAATCTATTTCGAACCATCCAAGTGAGGGCTATTCATAATCCTTATTTTCCACTTAAAAAATAGTAATTTTTTTTGTCGATCTGGGTGAAAAATGTAATTTTTTTACGAATAAGAATAAAAAGGGTGATCTTTTTTTTGACTTTTAGCTGGATCTGTAATTGTGGACGTGGGTTTTTGTAGACCTATGATTATTTTGGTAAACTTAGAGAGAAAATGGCTCGGAAGGGAAACCAGTACTGAAAAATAACTATTTTGATAAGTTTTCCTTAAAAAAATTTGCAAATAATTAAATAAATCACAATAATTAGTAACAGTAGCTACTAGCTAATTACATGATGCCTACGACCATTTATCACATTATTACCATCATTTCTGGATTTTCGAATATATAATATTATAATGAAAGAAAAATATTTCCTTTGATAACAAATTTTACAAGAAATGTGCACGTCGGCATGTAGGGCATACGTGGTGCAACAATGTTTTTTTTTATTTTATGTATATAATGTTTTATTTCAGGTAGATTTAGGTGTAGTTTACCAAACGCTTACTTAGATAAGTGTTTGCCAAGTCAATTTACTTTATCGGATGAATATGACAAGAACTAAAAATCTTACCCGGTAAGAGCAAAGGCAAGAATCGAGAGTCTTACCGGGCAAGTGAGGACGATGACTCTTACCATGGTTAGCGCTTACCGGGATAAATTGTTGCATACGATGCGTTTTAGTGAATACAATTTTATCCGGTAAGTAAACGATAGTGTTGAATTTTACCGGTGAGTATTTAATGGATAAGCGTTTGGTAAACGACCCCTTACTTTTAAATTAGTGTACCTACAAGAGTAAACAAGCATTATACTACATTATTTCATACATATTTCTCTTGTTTTTTTGTTTTTTTTTTTTAAAAGTTAAACTTATAAAGAGACCGGATATCTAATTTTATGTCTATGTGCGACTGTACCGAGTTTGTTTGTCCATTGTATTTATATGATGTTTGAGCTGTTATATTCTTCGTGCATAATTTATACACATAACTTTGACAGATCATGTTTCTTTAAAATGAATAAATCAGTGACATAAAAATAAGGTAGTGGTTGTTAACATGTCCAATTAGGTAGCCCTTATGTAGCACCAACTCATGGTTGCGGTATACTCCAAAGGGAGTTACTATAGCATTCCTATGTATTATAAGATAGAGCTTATAAAACACATAAATAAGACATCTCTAAACGTTAGGATGAAGCCTTTTGAGATAGAAACATATGATCTTTCATGAATGAGTCATTAAAAGACTTCATCATTTCGTGAGGAAGAAACCTGCCTTTAATTCGTCATGATTTCCCACCACAATTTTATTTGAAATACTAAAATCTAATTATCATGTCAGATCATAAATATCATAGCATCATTAATTCTAAACAAGACATTCTCACTCGTGATAATATCCTTCGTAGTGCCATGACTTATATTCCATATATGATGTATTGCACTTCAAGTTTAGTTTGCTTGCTTAACACTCTTACTCATCTACACTTATCTTCATAAAGGTTACAAGACAAAAAAAGGTCTCAACAACTAGCATGAAACGGCGTTACATTACCATTCTAGTTGCTAATCATGATGTTTTATATAAAAGCATCAGTACATAATAGTTAAACGCATTGCTAGCTATGATAGTAAGCTCGCTCCATATTCTCGAGTCTCAAAACAATTCAATAACTAAATCAGGACTCGATAGTATATTTGATACATAGGATCCGTAATACTACCAGTGTCACTAGTGAAAAGTGTCACGAAAATAAGGAGACACCAAAAAATGAGACATGTAGCACCAAAGAGACAAGTAGTTGAGTGTTGATCCTTTAGGAAGATGAAAAAGCAAAGAAAGGACATAAGACTTGTATGGTTTAAGTATTGTGATGATGAAGTTTTCTTAGAATGTTCATGTACATAATAAGGTTATGGTGATGGTGATGGTGGTGGTATTATTGTCTATTTTGCTTTTGACATGATCAATTCCTAAATGAATTTGCAAAACCCCACCATTGCATTGCATTGAGTACCCTCATATTATATGTTTTTTTTAATAAATTTTATGTGACTGTGATCCAACTTATTTTGGTATTGTTTTTTCAACCAAATATAAAATGAAATTGATAAGTAGGAAGTTGATTTATAAAATTAAGTGGTCCAAAAATATTGGATTTTCTATGAGGAGTTACTCTGGTGAACAAAGGGTTGTAGACAAATAAGAGGTTGTTTGGTTGTGTTTTCACTAATCACTGCACGGATTAAGCTGTACGCATGAATTAGATCAAAATGTTGTTTGCTTATTGTGTTGAATGAACCGTCGGGATTACCAAAGTGGCATTTTACTCTTGCTGTTTGTTATTTCATTAAGTTTTCCATTAAGCTCGTGTTCTTTTTCTTTCTAAAGTTCAATAATGATGAATCTTTAAAACTGATAAACCAATAATAAAGATAAATTCTTAACCTACTATTTCAATAAGATGACAAACCAAAAGATGGCAGTTGATGAAGAGTAGTTGACAAAGACGGAGAGAATCATCAGGAATAGTGATGAAGAAGAGCAACAACTGATGAAGAGTAGTTGATGAGACGGAGAGGATCATCAAGACTAGCGATGGAGAAGAGCAGCAACTGATGAAGAATAGTTGATGGAGACACAAAGGATCAACATGACTAGCGATGAAGAAGAGCAGTTGTTGTCAGAGGAGCAACAAGAAGAGAAATGATTTTGACTTTTGAGAGTTCAACATCATTAAGTAGCCAACGGAGAAGGAGGAGGAGGTATGGACAACGACAACAAGGTAATAGGAGGAGTGTCACTAATAGGAGAGAACGTCCATTTACAGAGAAGGACATGAAGGAAAAAAGAAATGGTCGAAATTCAACTCATAACCTCTAAATTAGTTTAACATTTCGTAATATCAAAATTCTATCCAACTCCATTATAATATATATTATAATAAAAAAATAGCTATTAATTCAAATACATATATACATACATATAT